ATATATATGTGTGTGTGTGTGTGTGTGAGCGTGTGTGTGTCTGTGTTTGTGTTTGTGATTATGTATGTACAAGCCTGGTCTCATATCCATATACAATGTTCATGTCCTATACTCCAATATTCTCACAGAGCACGCAGACAATCAACGACTTCAACCCCACGAGCGCAACCTCTCGCCAGTTTGGCAAGTTTTTGGACTCATGCATACAGAGACGTGCCAGCCGCAATAGTTTCTCTACGTAAGTTATCCGTGATGTGTTTGGACACTGTCTTGAGTACACTCTTGCGCACTCAGACGCTTTGTTTTAGAATAGATACACATGGGTTTATACATGCACACCTATCTGGTATATGCGTGTATGCACGTGTGTCGTTGGTATTGACATTGTCGTAATATCCGAAGGGTCTGAGTATTGCTCTGATTTCCCTGTGTGGCTGGTGGTGCGTGTAGCTTCGTTGGTTGATTGGCCTGTGGTGTCTACTGTCCCAACATCCTCGACCGCCAATACGTAGATCATCGATCCCGCACTCTAGCATCAAGCCTTGATTGTAGCTTTAACGCCTCCCTACACAGCATTTTATAGATGCCCTACAAGTACTACTATACAATCACTTTTGTTTATTATAATATCGCCAATTGACACAGCGTATGTGCTTTATGACTAGATCAATCTCGGCATTGCTTGTGAGGCCATCCACCAACGGTTACATTCCATATTTCCCCTATTAAGTATGATACCTATTAGATTCGTGTGTATTATATATCTACCTGACATGCCCAACTACACGCATCGCGTGCTGCAGCCATGGTTATGTGGCATACACTAACGATTGTATTCACGTTTATTTCCTTGTAAATGAACGTCATAATATTTCATATACATTTTAATATATCATATACACTATAACATCATATACTTTAGGTATATATGTTATACGTTGATCTGACCTGCACAACTACACACCTCCCGCATTGTAGCCATCGTGGGGTGGGTATAGGATATCCCTCAGGCCCCATCACTCGCAACTATTCAGCGTCGCACCTGAGTAGCAGTCACTTGGCACCGGGGATGGATCATCTTATGCAGACAAGACCCGGACATAGCGGCCCATATGTATGTAAGTTCGATTTGAAACGCCACTTTGTGCGTGGACTTGCTAGTGTAGATATCTGTGACTGTATGTATGTGAGTGTCCATTCGTCGTGTATGTGCAACCGTGCATTGTAATGGCTTTGGTGAAGCTTCTGGATCTAGATTGCAGCTAGAGTTTGCCAAATGGTACCTGAGAGCTGATACGCTTAGACTCGGATTGCAACGGTATACATTTCGGATCTCTGTAGACTTTATTGTGCATGTGTGAATAGTGATTTCAGTTTGTTGTACGTCGCTTTATGTATATGTCCGGTTATTCGTATACGCATTGATTGCTACTATGCGAACTGTTGTCATGCATATTTGCTAAGATGATATACATCATAAATATTGAAAATATATTAGATTATCAAATATCTCCCTATAGTCAATTGTTACCAATTCATCAAACAGCATTCTTTTTTTTTGCTGTGACTGCGATGTAATCGCTGCTCACAAGTTAACTTCCTTCACTACAACCGCTATATGTACTGTCGCTTGACTACAATTTGGCGTAGTATCTAAATATATTGTCTGTAGCTCCATCGCTTGTGACTAGCATCTTTTGCACATTACACTATGTAACTGTACCATCACCTCTTATCACTATTCTACAGCATGACTCATTTGTACCCAGATCGTATCAACGACACATTTGTACACAGATTGTATCAACATCAATCACTAGATTGGTTTCTTATATCTTTGCGAATGTCTTCACAGGAACGGCGCAGGCGGACAGGCGGGGCGGAATCACCAAACCCTCGAGGGGCAATGTATGACCATTAGTAAATGCTTTCAACAAGACAACTATGAACGTATGCACAATAAACAGCCTAGTTGGAAATTTCCTATCGGAAATCTGTTTGAAAGACAGAATATACACTATACGACCACTGGTAGTTCAAATATACCACCGATATGAGATTATTGGCGATAGAGGGTTGTTGGCAAAGTGCAGTATATAATTATTGTTGGCAAAGTGTTCGCAAATATGGTATTACACTTCTGGCATCGCTGTCGTCCTTCGAGTCATGCGATGCTTATAAGTTTTTTTAATAGTGGCATGTGGATGGGCATTCGACCCAGCACTGAAGTACATAGTGATAGGTAAGTTGGTACATACCGAACTACCGAGTAGTGACATAGTCAAGAGTAGTCAAGAGTTTCACGACCATTCGTACTCAGAATGGCCACAAGCATTTCGAAAACTACGGTTGCTCACTTGTCGCGTGCTACAACATGCTAATGAGCTTTTAGAAGTAATTATGGAGTAGATTATGCGGTGTTTATCTCCTGAGCAGGTTCCAGTTCTCTCTTGTTTTGCATTTTTGTCAAAGTTCATTGCTATAAATATAAAGAGGTTACAAAATTATAAACAGAGATTGGGACTTGGCCTGATTGCGGCCGTTGGGCATTGGGCGTCAACTTCTAGAGAGATAATCTTGACCTTGCTTCTCGTGCAATGGTTACTGTGTGCATTTGTTATTTTTTATTTTTTAGCAAATATACATATGTAGTGTATGTATTTGCTACCTCACTACTCTCTAATCTCTACTAGTAGAGGAGAGTGGAGAGAGAAAGTGTGAAATTGTATCCTCTCTACCCCTGACGGTCCTGAGTCCTGACTCCTCACTCCTGACCTCTCTCTCTCTCTTCTCTCAACTACATAGTAAATGGCTAGCAAGAGAGTAAGAGTAGAGGTAGGGTAGACGCACTCTCTCTTTCTATTATTACTATTTACCACATAGTACTACTCTCTCTCTCTGCTCCCTACTACTAGAGTGAGAGAGAGAGACTAATATTACTAAACTAGAGCTAGTAGTAAATACCAGTAGTAGAGAGCTGGGTAGAGAGAGACGGCAAGCCCTCGGCCTCAACTCTCAACTCAGATCTCAGAACTCATAAATCGTATCTTGAGTTTTTGTCAATATTCCATTATGCAATAGAGGGAGAGTATGAATATATAAAACTGAAAGCCATGAATATAGTGCAGGGCAAGCTCCACTGGCTCCAGGCTCCAGCCGTGGAACAGCTGGTCGGCTTAGCTCACGTAGAGTGAGTCATGAACTCATGACTCACGTCTAACGCGTGCTGTTAAGACTAAAGATGAAGTAAATATTTATACACAAGTATTGTGTGTAAAATATGTAAATAATTTTTATATATTTTTCAAAATATTTATTTATAAACTACTCTTAGAGTCTTTTTTTATTTTGGGTTTTAAAAAGAGGGAACCTTTTCCATATCCAACTCCCATGACTCCATGCGAAGTTCAGAAGTCGGTATGGGATGCATTATTTGCTCATCAAATTTTTATGCTGTGTTGTTAGGCGGTTCGGATGTGCTACTTTGTTTTAGGGTTTATTTAGTCCCCAAAATCGAGGGGAGGGGGGGGGGGGGGAATATAAATTCTAAATCTGACCTGACCTATGTCTGGACCTTCCCCTCCCGGCCCCTATCCCCTATAAATGATTTCAGTCTGGATTTGGTCTAGAGGTACTCTTGGAGTCATACTCGGATTCCAGAAGTAAAAATAGAGTAACCCATAATAATAAAGTAAAATATATAAAATGCATTTGAAAAATGCATCATTACTTTTTGTTTCAAATGTTCCAGATTTTTCTTGTTTTCACTGCAAAGCAACATAGCCTATGAAAGCAATATATAAAATACTGACTTTTCTTGGCCTGGTAAACAACACACTGACTGACTGACACAGTACTTTGAAAAGGGGCGATTTGTTTTTATTTTTATTTTATTTTTAAATTCATGTCCTGATTAATTTCTGTGACTTTCACAGTTCAGTTTCACCTGTCGAAGTTTCGATCTGCGACATTTGTTTTTTTTTCAGACTCTAGCTAGACGACATGAATCATGATATTTATTAGCTTTTGTATTTATCGTATTTAGTTGAAAGTTGTCGTTTACCAGGTCATATTTTAATAAAATCTGTGGTAATTGTCTATGTTGTAATTTATTTATTTTTTTAAATATACCTCTTGTAGGCCGGAAGCCTGAAGCCTGAAGCCTGAAGCCTGAAGCCTGAAGCCTGAAGCCTGAAGCCTGAAGCCTGAAGCCTGAAGCCTGAAGCCTGAAGCCTGAAGCCTGAAGCCTGAAGCCTGAAGCCTGAAGCCTGAAGCCTGTAGCCTGTAGCCTGTAGGCGAGGATAACTGTGGCCGAATGACGGTGTGGCATGGTGGCCGTGACGAACAGTCAACCTACCGTCCTAGTTCTTACCCGCGTAGAAGCCAGCATACACACAAGTAATACTACCTATGTATTTATGCAACTCTTCTATAAAAATTGGCCTTGTGTCGTGCCTCCCATCGAAGTTTCTACTGGTTGTAAACAAATCAAACAGTCTGAGACAATGAAAGGCACGTGATGACCTTCTTTTGGTCTGAACTCGTGAGTGAACTTGATATTTGAGATTAACTCTAGAGAGTCTAAGAAGCATAGGTTATTTTTTTAATGTTTATATATTATAGTCTTCTGCTCTCAAACCAGTATCCACCAGGCACCAGCATTGTTTTACCATTTATGGTCAGAGGTTTATCTCAGTATTGAGTATTCTTGTTCAGAAACTGTATTGGTAACTTGGCTGTATGATTGAAGTTGATTGATCATTGATTCCATTCCATAGTGATTAGCTGCGAACCTATTCCTCACGTCTAAATGCTCAATCTAATCAAATCTACAAACCTTTTTTATTTACCAATGCGTATGCTTTTTAAAACTGCTGGGCATAGTTAAGCAATATGTCCAAAAGTTTCTCCTCCAAACAGTATTTAAACTAGTTGAGACGTGATTAAATTAAAATATATACACAAGAATCAATTTTGTTATAATTTTCAAATACGTAGCCATGTTTAAAGCAGCCGTTCTAGCTACAACATTTGCCACTACTCTGGCTCTGTCGGCACGTAGAGCCGATGATGGGCCATGTGCCGAAGGCGATACCATGACGCTAAGCGCATGGTTGGGTGAAAGTGACGAGTGCCAGAATGATCCTCTGATTGAGGACTTTGAGCTAGTAGTTGGAGAATGTACTGCCATTGAAGGAGGTTCCCTTCCCCTTTTCGTGTTGGGAACATATAACGCGACATCGGAAGCATACGAAGCACAAATATACATGTCAGATGACAAATGCGAGGATAACCTGGTCGCCGAAGTAACTGATTTCACTGGAGAATGCAAGGAGCAAACAGCAAGTATTGGCATGGTCGCTGTCATGGAAACCAAGGTGGATGGTGAGTTCCCTTGTAATCCCTCAGTAGCTTGTGAAGAAATGACGGTAGAGGGATTTATGGGTACCGACTGTGGTGAGTCCGGCGGTTCTTCCATCACTGGCGAAAAAGGTACGAAGGTGCCCACAGATGGGTCTTGCGAGAAAGTAAGCGCGGATAATTCTTCATCAACAGTGTATGCTAAAATCGAGCTCACTGGAGCCACCGGCAGTGCTAAGATCTACTTGGATGAGGACTGTGAAAACCCCGTTGCTACATTTGAGGATTTCGATAGCGCCAGCGAAGAATGCTTGATGGACTCCACTGGTAAAATCGCGTCCGTCCAGATTCTTAAATGTTAAATCCAAATATTGAATGAAAAGTAGCGACTTAATATGAAACGGTCTTAGACATATACATAGTACCACAGAATAAATCTGAATATGATGCACAGTCTATTTTAATCTAAAAAATATATATATATATATATATTTATTTATTTTTATTATGATAAATATATGTTTAAATATATATATCGATATATATAT